ATCTATCTATAGATCTAGCCATTTATGTATAGATGTATCAATATATATATATATATATATATATACCTATTTAACTAATTGCTGTTTAACCATATACGCTTTAACAAACCAAAACCGCTTTGAAAACTCAACCATCAATTAAGTTCTAGTTCGTCCAATTATATTCCGAAAAATATATTTTAAAGTATGTTTGATCGCATTCGGGGGAGTGGGGGTCTTCGAGATTCAATTTTATCATTATTTGATATGATAATTTGGGTAAAAGCTATTAAAGGATAATAATATGCTTAAATACTCAAAAAATAGCAAACATTCAAGTATTAAAAATGTTATATTTACACTGATAAAAAATTTCGGATTGATATTGAGAATGCGACAAATTATCGTTTTCCTTAGCGATATCTCTACTGTGCATCCGAAAATTTTTATCAGTGTAGCGGAAAAAGAAAACAGGAAATTTAAAAATTCCAGGCAGAGCTGGGTACCCAAACTTGAAAAAAAAGCTACCTGTGCGTTAGTTAGACCTAGATGAGCAGCTATTTCGTCCCGATCAGCGGGGGACAGGTATTTTTGGTAAAGAAATCGTTTTTCTAGCTCGAATATCTGATGATTTGTAAACGCAGTTCGAGATTTTCGTTTCTTCTTTGGAGGAGCTTTGTTCACATAATTCAACTGAGCTCGTTCCATATCTACAAAATTATAAATATAAACAAGAAACTTTAAATAACTTTATGAAAGTTGTGAAATTAAGATTTTTTTGGCACAATTCGTATGTGATCAGAGCTGGGAACTTTTGAATGGAATATCCTTAATCCCGATCGGTTAATTAATCTGGAAATTAATAACAGGAGGAGAACAAGCCTTATTTAATCTCGAAATTAAGAAAAAGAGTGGATCAAGCATTAATCCCGATATCCACCATTTAAAAGTTCCCAGCTCAGTATATATAAAGGCAACTGTGTACGGTGTATAGGGGGGGGGGGTGGTTCAGATTGAAGCTGTACTTAAAATAACAAATTTATTAATTTTCTAGAAATAAAATGATGTTTTTTATAAATTATGTATGTATAAAGATAATGTATTTCTCTTGGCAGTTTTATGTTCAATATTTTAAGTGAACTAGAAATTACAAGTTTTTAATTACATTTATGTATAACTATGTAATATGTAAAAATATTTATTCACACGATAGATCATTCCGATAGAAAACCCTCCAAAGGATCACGATAAAATGAAAACCATTCAAATAATAATTACTAAGGAATTGAGTCTTTGCCACAAACTTTGATTTTTTAATCCCAATACATTTTGGAAACCAATATCGTAAACTTGATTTATGACAAATCATGAAATCTGTTAGATTAAATAAACTTAGGGGGGATTATTCAAGGTTTTCAACATCAAGTTTCAAAGATATAAGGATACTCTGAGTTTTTGGTGCAATTTCTGGCTGTCCAAAAAAGAGCAGTCTGTCTATGAAGATACACGGAAAAGTCTGTAAAATTATAATTTCCCCGGATTTCAAATATTGTGTTCTGTTAATTTAGAGAAAATTTGGTAAGTGCTGACTTATCTCCGGTTTAAGTGAGTTCTGCTAGTGTCTCTAGTGTATAGAACGGAGTTATCACTTAATTATTGAGACTTTATTGAAAACATATGTGCACTAAACAAACACCCCCCCCCCCCGCTCTTCACGGAGTAAGGATAAATATTTTCTACACAAATATAACCTTTGTTTAATTTTAAAATGAAATGTATGTTAAAAAATGTTTAAATTGATTGAATAAGGGATTACATTTACCCCTGTATATATTGGGCGCTTAAATTTTTAACCGATTTTTCGGGAGGGGGGGGGGGCTGGGGATATTAGATTAGATACCCCTTTAGTTTGGCGGCAAATAGAACATATGATTTTGATTTATCAGCTAAAATAATTTGATCATTGAAATAATTGTACAGTCTAAAAGCTTATCAAAAAACTAAAAAATTTCAAAAAGTTGATAGCAAGCCAAAATAAATATTGTGTGTATAACATTCTTTGAGGGACAATATTCTTTTGATAAAAGTGTTATTTCCCCTCACATTGTATTTACAAATTTAGACAAGATGGCGCCTCAGATATGAGAAAATCGTCCATTTTTTGCGCGAAACTCCGCAATATTACAAGAAACTGAGCTAACAAGTCTAAATCTGAAAATTGATCATGACACTGCTCTTTTAGGTCGAGATAAAACAAATTATCAAAGTAAAACAGGCATTTTAGAAGATTAACTATAGCCCAGTTTGTAAAACAAGGACAAAAACTTGAATTTTGCAAGATCATTGTATGAATGTAAGTTGCTAAAACATATGCAATCTTACTTGTGCAATTTTTCGATGAAAAATGTCAGTATATAACATGAAGAAGCCATTTTCCGGTAGCAGTTCGCAAAGTATTTGCAAAAAACCTTCCGCAATTTGCAATTAAGTCATCAGAAAATTAGATTAAAAATTGATCAAACTAAATCAAAATTACACATTTCAAACATCAATTTTGTAATTCATACTTCATGTCAAATATGAAAATACCCGTTTATTTTTATAAATCCCCCCACCCCACACCCCATAAAGTTTCATAGATGTAGCCCAAAAAATCATGTTTTTTAAACTATATGTAGTGAATGTTGTCAGCTCTTTAGCGTTTTTTAGCTTATTTCAGGTATTGGTATCCTTCAGAGCATAGTACTTTGATATTTAAGCTATAGCAAAGTGATAATAGCTAGTGTTTAGTTTTAAAGTATAGTGGTTGCGAGCTAGCTACAGTTCTATTAAAATGTTGTAGTTAGCGTTTTTAAGCTATATTGGCAGTACAGATGCCTGCTAGCTAGCTATCTGAAATGTTAAAGCTATATTTTAGAATAGATGTTTGCTAGATAGTTTGCTATCTGAAATATTTAAGCTGTATTGCAGTATAGATGACTGCTAGCTAGCTATCTGAAATGCTTAAGCTATATTAGCAGTATAGATGCCTGCTAGCTAGCTATCTGAAATGTAAAGCTATATTACAGTATAGATGACTGCTAGCTAGCTATCTGAAATGCTTAAGCTATATTAGCAGTATAGATGCCTGCTAGCTAGCTATCTGAAATGTAAAGCTATATTACAGTATAGATGCCTGCTAGCTAGCTATCTGAAATGTAAAGCTAGATTACAGTATAGATGCCTGCTAGCTAGCTATCAGAAATGTTAAAGCTAGATTACAGTAGATGCCTGCTAGCTAGATATATGAGATATAAAGCTATATTACAGTATAGATGCTTGCTAGCTAGCTATTTAAAATGTTAAGCTAGATTACAGAATAGATGCCTGCTAGCTAGCTATCTGAAATGTTAAAGCTAGATTACAGTATAGATGCCTGCTAGCTAGCTATCTGAAATGTTAAAGCTAGATTACAGATTAAAGTATAGATTGAAGAACACACTGATAGAAAATGTCAATCAATGAGAGCTGAGAGAACTAGACCGAAGCTAATATGTCAATTTAGTTCAAGTCACAGAAACTCAATACATTCATTGTTCCTTCTCTCTTGATGTTCCTGTTCTCTTCTGTTCTCTTCTGTTCTATTCTGTTCTCTACTGTTCTCTTCTGTTCTCTTCTGTTCTCTTCTGTTCTATTCTGTTCTCTACTATTTTATACTGTTCTATTCTGTTATATTCTTTTCTGTTCTCTTCTGTTCTCTTCTGTTCTATTCTGTTCTCTACTGTTCTCTTCTGTTCTCTTCTGTTCTCTTCTGTTTTATACTGTTCTATACTATTTTATACTGTTCTATTCTGTTATATTCTTTTCTCTACTGTTCTATTCTGTTATATACTGTTCTTTCTGTTCTATACTATACTATACTGTTCTATACTGTTCTCTACTGTTCTATTCTGCTCTATACTGTTCTATTTTTCTATACTAATCTATTGTTCTTCACTGTTCTATACTGTTCTGTACTGTTCTCTACTGTTCTATTCTGCTCTATACTGTTCTATTGTTCTATACTGTTCTATTATTCTTCACTGTTCTATACTGTTCTTTACTGTTTTATACTGTGCTATACTGTTCTTCACTGTTCTATTCTGTTCGGTACTGTTCTCTACTGTTCTCTACTGTTCTATTCTGCTCTATACTATCTATCTGTTTGATTCTGTTCTATACTATTCTTTACTGTTCTATTGTTCTGTACTGTTCTATACTGTTCTATACTTTTCTTACTGTTCTATACCGGTCTATACTGTTCTATACTGTTCTATATTTTTCTGTTCTTATCTATCTATCTATCTGTTTGATTCTCTCAGCTACTGTCATATTAAAATTTGTTTTATTCTATCATATCTTTTTTGTTCTGAATTACACTTTTTTTTCTTTTTCTGTTCTTTTTGTTTTATTTTGTTCTAAATTATACTTTTTTGTTCTTTTTCTGTTCTTTTTGTTTTATTTTGTGCTAAATTATACTTTTTTTGTTCTTTTTCTGTTCTTTTTGTTTTATTTGTTCTAAATTATACTTTTTTTGTACTTTTTCTGTTCTTTTTGTTTTATTTTGTTCTAAATTATGCTTCTATTTTTGTTCTTTTTCTGTTCTTTTTGTTGTATTTTGTTCTAAATTATGCTTCTATTTTGTTATTTTCTGTTCTTTTTGGTTTATTTTGTTCTAAATTATGCTTCTATTTTTTTCTTTTTCTGTTCTGTTTGTTGTATTTTGTTCTAAATTATACTTATTCTACTTTATAGTAAAATAGTGATATATAAATTTAAACAAAAGACCGTCATTAGTAAATCAGCATAATCACAATAATTTACTCAAATAGTAAACACCTTCACATTCATCAAAATGAATATATAAATATATATATGTTTATTATGAAAAATACGTTCAACCTGTTATAGACAATATTGACAATTATAGACAAAATTTGCACGTTTAGTTCAGACAATAAAGACAACATGCTCTTGTTTAATATAGACAATAAGACAATCATAGACAAATTATATATCATCAAACAAAGACAACTTTTTATAAAATTTAAACATTAGACGGTCGCTGTAGGTTGTATCATCTTGATAATTATGTGGAAGAAATTTTTGTTTTTTTATCTTGAAAAGTGTTTATTTCTGAAAATTTCTTTGATTAAGTTCTCTAAAAATATTCCGCAAGTCAATTTGATGGAGAAACCAGGATTGGAAAATAATCAATTTTTAAAATTAAAAATATCGACTTCTCATTCAGTTTTTGTCATACAAATATTTTATGGGTACTATTGTGCATAGAACATATAATTAGATGGTCAGTTTTAACTACATCTACAATTCCTTTAAATAGTGTGGACAATATAGACATTAATAGATAATCACAGACAATATAGACATTAGTAGATAATCACAGACAATATGGACATTAGTAGATAATGACAGACAATATAGACCAACCACAACCAATGACGTTGCAGCGAAACAAGCAATGCCATATGTAGCTTTAAATCAATATAAAACCACATAAACCAACACAATCATAAGAAACCATTAAATAAATCTATCCATTTACAAGTATATATATATATATACAAGCTGAAGTGCCCGAAGAGCAAAAATATCAGAATATCAAATGCCAAATTTTTTTAAGTCGAATTTAGAAAAATAAAATGATTTTTTAGGCCTACGTTACCCCGGGGTACACAAGGATTCCTTAAAAATTGTCAGCCCAATCGACCCAGACCACGGGCAGCCGTAGTATATTTGAATTTCCGAACCGGGTCAACCTTTCCGGTCCCAGTTTGTACTGTACCTAGCTCTATGGACAGGACTAGCCGGTGCAACAATGTTGACGCGGTCAGGCGCTATGCTTCATAAAGGTTGAATTTACTTTTACTAAAGGGGAAGAGGTGCGTGAGACGTTTGGCCAGCTACAGCTAATATATGTATGCAAACAATTACATAGATATGAGCGAAGAGCTTTCTTATGTAGATAGACATAATCATATCTATATATATATAATATATATGTATATCAATTATAAATTATCTTAAGCAATCTATATATTCATACTTTTAAGCTAAAACGATAATTATTTTAGATATTTTTTTTATCGATTTAATCAGTATAATTGGAAACTTCTTGCACATTTTACATAAACATTTTAAATAATAATAAACCTTTTTCATTCATTTCTTAGATCTTTCCCAAAATACAAGATTTGTTTGGTCCAAGATATGGTTATTAACGTTTTTAATCCGGAATTAAGTGCCTTGCTACAAACTCAGAGTTAATATTTACACCTCAATGTCGTAGAAACCTTATAAACTCTATTTTAAGAGTTGCACGTCTAATTCACAACGGTAGTTAAACTATTATCTCCTCAAGAATAAATGAGATAACCTTATTTACCCTCTCAGAAAATTGATTATTTTCCGCTGTTGTTTCTCTGAAAAAAAGTTACTTGTGCTTTTGCATTTATTCTTAATAAACAATGAAAGCAATTTTAAGAATCAAACACTTTTCGAGGTAGAATAAACCAACGATGTCTTCCACATTATTGATTAGATAGAAGGTTAAAGAGTATCGTCGTGAATCGGACATGTCACCCTTTAAATGATGGGTCACCAGATATTACGTTGACAGACCCTTTAATTTAAAAAAAATTTAATTGTTTTACCTGACTTGGCTTTTAAAGCTTCAAAATTCGATGCCATATTGAAAAGTGCGTCTAAAGGACTGTCCCCCAGAGATTTTCGTCGATCCCCAGATTCTCTTGATCGTCCTTCCAGCCGATCCCATGGCCGGACTATTGAGGGTTGAGATCGCTGGAGCGCCGCCGTTTTATGAGATAAAATATCGTCAATACAAAATGATTTTACGCCCTTCTTCTTGGTGTGTAGAGACGGAAGCTGTCTTTGTTCATCCTCATCTTCATCCTCATCATCCTCGTCAAGATCTTCGTCATCATCCTCATCCTCCAGTTCTGTTTTAAATTCATAATTTATAAATATTTATTTAAAACCAGAGTACGTACAATCTGAAGATGCAAATTAATATGATAGAAGGATACTAGGAAAATTTGATTTAGTTCAAGCAAATTATTGTTATAAAGATTACAAACAAAGCATTGCCAATTGCCATAGATTTTCAATCAAATAAAAACTTCATGGCAAAAGGCTAAAGTCTGAATCAAACAAACGTTAATTCTAAATTAAATAATACTGTAATTTTTTGTTAAAAAATCTAGATTTTAATTATTTCAAAAACTAGATTTTTTATGCAGATAAAACCTAGTTTTTAATCAAATGAAACCTAGTTTTTACATCAAATAACAACTAGGTTTTTAATCAAATAACACCTAGTTTTTTAACCAAATTAAAACCCGGTTTTTTTTATCAAATAAAACCTTTTTTAAATCAAATAAAATCTAGTTTTTCAACTAAATAAAATTTAAATTTGATTTCAAATAACAACTAGGGTTTAAATCAAATGAAACCTTTTATTTAAATAAAAATATTTTAAACAAAGACAAACTTGCTTTTTAATCAAATAAAATGAAGATTCTTGATTAAATAAAACCCAGACTTAATCGAATAAAGCCAAGATTCTTAATTGTTTACTAATTTTTTTTAATCAAAGCAAATCTAGTTTTTTTTATCGAATAAAAACAGTTTTTTTTTATTAAATAAAAGATGTTTTTTATCAAATAAAAACTGTTTTTAGCAAATAAAAGTTTTTTTTTTATCAAATAACAGCTGTTTTTCTTAAATAAAAGCTGTTTTTTTTATCAAATAAAAGATTTTTTTATCAAATAAAAGCTGTTTTTTATGAAATAAAAGCTGTTTTTTAAATAAAAAACCCTGATTATTTATCCAAAAAATGTTGATTGTTTATTAATCAAAATCTATTCAAGATTTTAATTAATTAATAATTTTTCATAAAAAATGTCTGAATTTTCCTTGTTTAATTTTCATAAATGAATCTTCGTGTTCATCACTTAACTCCTCGCTTGTTCTTCTGTAAAATAAATTCTCAATTTTAAAATGTTTTTTTTCTTTTGTTTGAAAAGTCCACTTGAGTGTTAAAGGAGGTCTCTACCTAGAGAACCCTATATAATTTAGATAAGACAAGAATGAGATATAATCTGAGGAAATATTACATGTTTCATGTCAACATATTTCACTTTAAATTCTAAACTTGAGAAATTTATTTTCCTTAGGTCAAGAGGTCGGGGACCTATAGGTTCTACACGTGAGACCTCCGGGCTTCCAACTTCTAAAAATTCACGAAAAATGATTTTTTCAAAAAGTTTTTAAAAAATGACAGAATTTGATAGCTATTTTTTTTACTTGTTCCATTGAGTTTAAAATAATCTTTTTCTTGTGTTTATTCTCATTTTTCATTCCTAGTTCTTCATCTGATTCTTCCATGTTGTCATCTGACGGAATAAGATCCTCTGAAGGGGGTCTTTTAACCCCATTCCCTCCTTCTCCTTCCAACCGACATCCTTCTCCTGCTCCTTCCATCCTATACGCCTCTACTCCTTTACTCATTGTCATCATCTCAACCCGATATCATAGCATTAACATCAAAACTTATGATTATTTGTTATTGTTTACTGTTTACTGTACTGCACTGTATGCTCTGCACTATGTGAGTTTATGGCGAGGTAAGGTCTAGAACTGAAGAGTCTTGTTTTCTACTCCTAACAGCATCTTATTAATTACGGCCGGGATCCACGGCTCTCTCTCTAACCTATCAACGGGTAGTTTGCCCGAGCGCGGAAACTAGTCCTGGTTAGCCATTCTCGTTGACTCTGAATTGGCGGGCTAACGACCCAGCTCGTCTCTCATTGGTCGAATCCGCCGCTCTGTATTCCAACCCTGGCCTCTCATTGGTCGAACCCACGGTGAAATCAGTGAATACTTCATTTGTAGTTCCAAGCCAAGAAAACGACTAGATTATATGGTGGGTTATTACCCTCCCCCCCTCTCTTCCTCACTCCCCCAAACTCCCCATCCCCCCCCCTCTACATGCTCGACTTTAATGCAAATTGGCTGAATTTTTCTTACTTTTGAATACTTGGAACAATTAAAAGTTTTCGCTGGTTCTAGTTCTTCTAACTAATCATTTTAATAAATTGAAGAACTTAGTTCATTATAAATTACAGAGAACTAATTAACGATAAAAAGGGGACAAGCAGTTACTTTGTTCAGACCAACTAACTCATTCAACAACTACCTTTTTTCCAGACATGTTTTTTCAATTCCTGTTGTTAAAGGGACTGTGAGGAACATTTTCAGGGACTCTCCATTCAAAGATTAAGATGCCCAATTCACAACGGTACCCTTGAAAGCTTTTTCTGATCTTAAGTATGAATTCACACTTGTATGCCGATTCCATTAGCACCTGATCCAAACAGTGTTCAGTCATTTGTTTATTGTCTATTCTGAACCAATAGAATTAGTATGGCGGTAACATCTATCTTTCTATCTATCTCATTATCCAATTAAGTTATGAATCCTTAAATCAGCGCTAAAAGTAAACGGAAACATTTACTTCTACTGAAACTATAGTGAATTGGATTTCAATGTTTATAATTTTGAAAGCTGATACATCCTGCATCCTTGTTTTTTTATTTAAAAATTGATAATTCTTATACAGCATAGGTAAGGTCAAGATAAATTATATATACAATCCTTTCAAACGTTAGACTTAATACACATTACACCAAAACATAAATTCGTTCAATCGATCGTTAGTCCAATTGATATGACACCACAAATGCGGGAAAATTAAAAACCGATTTTTCAGAAGCTAAAGAGCGCATCTCTTATCTCTAGAAATGAATCTAAAGACAAAATTAGTCTTAAGATTAGCAAAAAGAGAGGTTCAAGCGTTAATCTCGATATCCACCATACTAAAGTTCTGGTTTAAAATTCAGCGATCCTACAGGAATTAAGTCTTTACCAAAACAAGATTGTTTAATTCTCATATCTTTGCAACACAAAGTCGTACACTTTAGATATTTCAAACTATGATTTCTCTTGGTTAAATAATCAAAGTATCAGAAGTTTCCTCCATCAGGTTGCAAAGATATAGAGATATTAGGATATAGTTTGTGACATAGACTCTTAATCATTTTCTTTCATCTTTTCTTCTTTTCTTACACATAACATATCAAGTGACCCTCCATGCAAAGATGACAATGCCCGATTCACAACCGTACCCATAACAGCTTTGTCAGATCAAGCATGAACTATATATCAAGGTTTATCATTTAGAAAAATGATCTATTTCCAATCATGGTTTCTCTTCAAAATTAACTTGCGTATTCTATGTATAAGAAGACATATCGGAATTATCTAAATTAAATACAGAAAAACAACAATTTTCTCCTATTCTATTATTTTTGAAATTAAAGTAGCATCTTTTCTTCTTAGTTTCTAAATATTTACTTCTATTCTACTTACATTACACTTCTTAGTTGCTAAATATTTACTTCTATTCTACGTACATTACACTTCTTAGTTTCTAAATATTTACTTCTATTCTACTTACATTACACTTCTTAGTTTCTAAATATTTACTTCTATTCTACTTACATAACACTTCTTAGTTTCTAAATATTTACTTCTATTCTACTTACATAACACTTCTTAGTTGCTAAATATTTACTTCTATTCTACTTAGATTACACTTCTTAATTTCTAAATATTTACTTCCCTTCTTCTTACATTACACTTCTTATGGTTTCTAAATATTTACTTCTATTTTACTTACATTACACTTCTTAGTTTCTAAATGTTTACTTCTATTCTCCTTACATTACACTTCTTAGTTTCTAAATATTTACTTCCCTTCTCCTTGCATTACACTTCTTAGTTTCTAAATATTTACTTCCCTTCTCCTTACATTAAATTCTTAGTTTCTAAATATTTACTTCCATTTTCCTTGCATTACATTTCTTAGTTTCTAAATATTTACTTCCCTTCTCCTTACATTACACTTCTTAGTTTCTAAATATTTACTTCCTCTTCTCCTTACATTATACTTCTTCGTTTCTAAATACCTATTTCCCTTCCATTTTCCTTGCATTACATTTCTTAGTTTCTAAATATTTACTTCCCTTCTCCTTACATTACACTTCTTAGTTTCTAAATATTTACTTTCATTCTCCTTACATTACACTTCTTAGTTTCTAAATATTTACTTCTCTTCTCCTTACATTATACTTCTTCGTTTCTAAATACCTATTTCCCTTCTTCTTACATTACACTTCTTAGTTTCTAAATATTTACTTCTATTCTACTTACTTTACACTTCTTAGTTTCTAAATATTTACTTATCTTCTCCTTACATTACACTTCTTAGTTTCTAAATATTTACTTCTATTCTACTTACATAACACTTCTTAGTTTCTAAATATTTACTTCTTTTCTACTATACACAACACTTATTATAGTTTCTAAATATTTACTTTTCTTCTACTTACTTTACACTTCTTAGTTTCTAAATATTTACTTCCCTTCTTCTTACATTACACTTCTTAGTTTCTAAATATTTACTTTTCTTCTACTTACATTACACTTCTTAGTTTCTAAACATGTACTTCCATTCTACTTACATTACACTTCTTGGTTCTAAATATTTACTTCTCTCCTTCTTACTGTCTTACATTACACTTTTTAGTTTCTAAATATTTAATTTTATTCTCCTTACATTACACTTCTTAGTTTCTAAATATTTAATTTTATTCTCCTTTCATTACACTTCTTAGTTTCTAAATATTTAAATCTATTCTCCTTACATTACACTTCTTAGTTTCTAAATATTTAATTTTATTCTCCTTACATTACACTTCTTAGTTTCTAAATATTTACTTATCTTCTCCTTACATTACACTTCTTAGTTTCTAAATATTTAATTTTATTCTCCTTACATTACACATATTTATTCATAAAAATTGCTTTTGCTTTATCTTTTAAGTCTTCATCGTTATTTCTGTGTTTTTGCTTTCTCCCTAAAACACGTGATATTGTGTTGGAGCCTATAGCGCTGTGTGAATGTAAAACTATACATGCATTGTGCATTGAGCTAGCTCGTTCGAAAGTTCTGAGAAATCGTCGCAAAATCGTGCAAATCTTAGATTGAATACATGTTGAGATACATACGTATACTTGCATTTGATCCTTAGAAATTCTTAAATTGTAGTATATACAGTGAATCCCAGATATATGAATACATAACAAGAGTTTTTATAATATCGTATCACATATTTAAGTTCAAATGCCGCGGAAAAAATGAGTTTAATATTGATATATCAATTGCATTCATATTTCAGGGCTATTAATTTACATTGAATTAAAAAGAAAAAGAAGTTTCTGTAGAATTATCAAAAAACTTATGACGGTCTATGTATTCATACATCTGGAATTTACTGTATCTTATTTACAAAGATTAAATACAATACTTTTAAAAAATTTGTTAATTTTGTAAAGAAAGGTATCATCCTTTAGCTGTCATAAAATGATGGACATCTAAATAAATTTAATAGAGAGGGATTTCATTTTTTAATCCTCTGTAGATAGAACATTGTGATGTGATATCCGAGTGAAAATACACAAGCAAAATTCGACTTTCGAAAACTTTAAAGGGACTGTAAAGGAAAATGAAAGAGGGTATAGGATAAAGCCTGAGAATCTCAGGTTTTGAACAATACTTATAAGGCATCTATCTTATATTTCTGTCTCGAGAAATTGATATAAAACTTTGTCAAAATTATACCAAAACGGACATATGACAGATTTTGTATAAAAGTTGTAGTATTAAATAGATCATATTCAACAATTACGCAATCTGAAAACGATTATATCTCACAGGAGCCTGAGAATCTCTGGTTTGCTCATATTATAATTTTTTTAATTTTGCATTTTTGATAGCTAGATATAGTTTATAATATTATTAAATATAGTCCGTATAGTCCGTATAACGTCACAATAACTATTGTTAATGAGAAAATTGGCAAAATTGAAAATGGGCAATGAACGATTCTTCTTTTAAACATTGCCTGTTATATCGTAGTAGTGTATTATTATGCTAAGAACGAATTCCGCGGCAGTTGCTTCTTTACTGGTATTGAAATCCAGATGATACTAAGATTATCATAATCTGTTCTTTACTGAAAACGATAGGCCCATTTCTTTTATGCTAAAAAATTTCTGTTTGTATATCTGATCATAACTCATGAACTTCTTGGCCGATTTGCCACAATTTAGACCCACATGAATTTCAAAAGCTTGGTTAGAATCTATGTTAGATCTCCAGGCACTTCTGGGGTCCTAAGCTAGTTTATAAATAAAGTGAATTTTAATTAAATGTTTAAGTAAATTCTTTAAGCTTCATTATAAGAGATCTGAAGAAAAGTTTGGCGACACTAAATTAAAGTTTTGAGGCAATTGACTTATTCTGCTTTCTGTTGGACCGGAAATAAAATATTTAATTTCAACGCATTTTCATAATTAGGCCGAAATTAACGTTGCATGAGTACACT